CATCAGCTCACCGTCGCCGGCGAAATTGGCGCTATCAGTTTCTCTGCCATCGAATTGTCGCTTCATTTGATAGATAAATGAGGAAATCAAGGAATTCTACGATTAGTTATTTGGAAGAAACTCACTTGCTGATTACTTCTTAAATTGATATTAAAACATTTACATAACTCCAATTGCACAGATTATTGATGGGAATTGGTTCTTAATTATCAATTTGTTGGTTTTGGTCTATTATTTTTTCGTTGTATGCATTATTCTGGGACAATCTGGTGGATTTCAGTAGAAGGGACGGGCTAAAGAAGATGAAGGAGGGGGGGTGCGGGGAGGGTGGGAGGGGAAAGGGGGGAGCACTGGTTTAGGAAAATAAGGTTTTTTTTTAGTGTATTTTTTTTATTAATTACATGTGTCAAATGGAAAAATTACACGTGTCATTTTTTGATTGGTTCATTTGCCATGTCATCAGCAAGTGCAACTCACGCATATGACCTGCTGTACTCAGGTGTTTACTTGACCTATTTAATAGCCACGTGAAGTGTTTAGCTGGGAATAGTCTCAGTTGAGGTGTTCAACTGACCGTTGTGGACAACTTGGAGGGGCCGTTTATATATTTCGCCAACTGATTTCTCTGCCCATGATAATCCATGCATGCATCATGAAGTAAAATATTCAAAAAAGCTGAATACATACGGAGACACTTAAAGTTGGTACAATTTTTCATTTAGACACCTGAACTTAGGGGTATTCCTAATGAGCACGTACATTACACGAACTTTGTTCCAATTAGACACTCTTTTAACAATTAGTGAAACTTACAAAGTGTGTGCAATACACTCGCTGCTGATGTGGCGAATGACGAATAAAATGAGGACATGTATCTTTTTGAGTTAAAAAAGAAAGGAAAAACTATGTTAAATCTATTTAATGTGTGTTCTTGGTGTTCTTCACTATCTTCATGTGTGTTCTTGTTCCAACCAAGATTTTAATCCAAACTTTTAAGAGAAACTCCTCCAAATTTGTTATAACTTGATCTAAAGATTCCCCAAGACGACCCGAAGGCAACCCCAACATTAATTCCACAAACTTTCATCAATTCAAGTAACCCATTTTAAACCTTCAAGCTTTTTAAAGACCCCATTAATGGTGTTTCGATTTGAAATGAAGAACTTGGACTCATTTTAGTTTTAATCAATAGGGGGCTGCTCCTGGAGAAGAGTGACGGTTGGAGATGGATGGGGTGAAGAAGAAGGGTTCGGCGATGGGGGTTAGAGAGAAGGGTGGCGGAGGATTTGGTGGCGATGAAAATTTCAGCTATAAGACAAGTAGTAACTGTTGAAAGCTAGATGCAGAAATACTCTAAGGCTTCAACAGTCAAATAATTGGGGCGCCATTCTTGTTGTGTGAAGCAGAAGCTAAGGAAAGGATTATGGTCACCAAAAGAAGATGAGAAATTGTGTAATTATATCACCAAATTTGGTGTTGGCTCCTGGAGTTCTATCCCTAAGCTAGCTGGTAACTGAGAGTCTTCAATTGGATATGAGTAGTGACACTGATAAAGAAGAAGGAAATGGTAAAAGTGGAGGAGGCAATAGTGGAAATGGTGGTGGACATAAAGAAGAAGAAGGAAATAAAAAAGACAAAAAAAAAAAAAAAAAAATCTATTTTTTTGGGCTCTTCACGCGCCTATATTGGGTGAAACTCTCTCTATATGCCAACTCAGCAAAAAGTGCCTAATTGGAACAAAATTCATGTAATATACATACTCATTAAAAATACCCCTAAATTTAGGTATCTAAATGAAAAAATCGTGCCAACTTTAAGTGTCTCCATATTTTAAGTGTCTCCATCTTTAATTCATATATAACTCAATACTTGAGAAAAACTAAGAGATAGTTTGATAGAATCAGAAGCATAACTAATTCATCATTTCCAAGACATGTATTATCTTCAACATCATTTAATTTCCAAAACAATTTTAAATTTTTAATAATCCAAATTTTGGACAAATTGCACTAGAATTAAGCCCTTGACAAAATTTAGATAATCTTGGACTTCTCTTTACGAGCATCAACTGTAATACACCTTTTGATTCGTTTCATATGATAGTGTTTAAATAAACACAAAATTTAAAAAGAAGAAAAAAATGACTTTCAACTGATATTAAGAGTACCTTAGAATTAGCGTCTTAAATATGTCATTACATTTCTATATAATTAATAATAATATTAATTTATTATGAAATATTTAAAACAAATATTTTCTATAAATATTTAAAAATTATAAATTAATAGATAATATCATAAAAATAATCTACCTTCCAAATTAATATTATTTTTACATAATAAAAAAAATTAATGACGAACTTATTTTTTTACATTATCAATTAATAGGTTACATTAAAATATAAAATGAGAAAAATAATCAAATATTATAGTAGAAACGAATGTACGAAAAGAGGTGGATAAAGATAATTTTATATTATTTATATTTTAAATTAATTAATAAACAAAATAGAAATAAATAACACTCAAGAAAATTATTAATAAATTTAGATAATTGAAGAATTTTAAATAATATAACATAAGTATAAAAATATATATTTCCAGAATAAGAAAATATATACGTATGTTCTACTAGAAGAGAAGTAGTATCAAAATATTAAGCCAATTGACAAATTAATAAATAATCACATTAGTAAATGTATAGTACTAAGTACTTACTAATTTAATAAAGAATAAACAACGAATAAATAATTTATTTGATTACTATAATGCTTTGTATCCTTTAATTTTGTATAGATTTTATTATATTTAGGTACACTACATTAAATAATAAAATAGTAACTAATATTTATTAAAATAATATAATATATTACATCATAATTTTATAAGATTAATATTCCATCGAATTATCCGCGCATCGCGCGGGTTCTAACACTAGTACAAAATAAAATGGAGGGAATAACAGAATGTTCCGGCACTTCATTTGATTTTGTCATCGTATGGACCACATCTTATCCAGTTACATTATATTTGTTTCTGATTTTTGATTTGAAGTAGACAAAGTACATCAAAATTCTGCTCCAAATTCAAGAATTGCTTAACTAAAACTTTGGTTTCATTCAAATTGTGCTTAATTATTGTCTCCTGAAAATTATGTGAATTAACTTATGGATTCATTTCGATAACATTTGTGGTTGAAATTGGAAAAATATTACTTGAAATTGAAGTAGACAATAAGCGGGTGTTTGGACATGAATATATTTTTGGGTTATTTTTTGAAGTTTCGTGAGTGATGAGTGAAAATTTTGAAAAATAAGTTTTCGAAGTTTTTCAAATTTTCAAAAATTTCCAAAATGCATCTTCAAGTGAAATTTAAAAAGTTTATGAACAAACGCTGATTTCGGAAAAAAATAAAAAAAAATTGGAAAAAGAGAAAAATTTCTTATGTCCAAACGGGCTCAAGTTTGTGAAAGTATTATGTTGACCATGTTGGTTTTGGGTTATTGTTCACTAAAATAAAAGATCTGAAAAAACTTAGTTTTATCTACTGCTGCAAGTTCTAGCTTTCATATAATCAATCCCTCATGCTGCTCTAAATTTCACCCACAACCCAAAACTTCTACCAATTAAAATGCAAACTTAGTAGACACAAGACTAGGAGCCCGTTTGGCTTAGCTGATTTAGAGTAGCTGATAAGTATAGGTGCTGAAAAGTACTTTTAAGTGCTGAAGCTGATCTAAAAAATAAACAGTTACGTGTTTGGATAAAAGTGCTGAAATTAATAATAAGCAGCTAAAAAATTGGGTATACAAAGAGTTTTGTTTTAAAAAGAAGTATTTTAGGGATAGAATAGTAAATATTTTAGTCAAACCTAAAGTGCTTATAAGCTGAAATTTGATAAGTTGGGGGAGACCAACTTATGGCTTTTGGCTTATTTTTGGCTTATAAGCACTTAACTTATAAGCACTTTTAATTTTACCAAACGCATAGATAAGCCAAAAAGTGCTTATAAACCAATTTGACCAGCTTATAAGCTTAGCCAAACACCCTCTAGTTCACAACATATGCACTCACAGAAAATTTGATACAGTAAAGTTCAAACTCCCAAACAATCAAACTTCTGTTCAAAATTGATATAAAAGCCAAAAGTTCACTGCGAGCACAGGTGCGACATATTTAGACGTGCAGTACAAGAGATAATGAAGCGAAATTTACAACGCCACAGAATAAGCATGTCAATTGATGTTTTTCACTGCGATCTAGATTTGCACATACCACTTAGGCATATAATATTTGATAAATACCAAGTAAATAAGAATGATGCGTGTGTTAGGGGCACGTCATGCAACCCTGCTGCAAACAAAGCTTGGTATTTAAGTTGAGAGGAATGTAGAGGGACAGGCTCATACTTGGCGGGGTTTCAAAACCTGTCCGCCAACTAGAGTCGGCTAGAAGCCCACACGGTATTTCTCCAATATAAAAAATAAAAACAAAAAAGAAGACTTACCAACTAATCTTCCTATTGTACTATTTGACTCAATAACGACGTAAACTAAGAAGCTACTTACCTTTGGCCAATGATCCCTCCTTTGCTCGGGAACAAGTTGTTGGTACAGATGATAAATAGCATAAGATCTCAACAATATTCAGCAAAATACAACAGGCAGCTGATCAGTGGGCAGCCCGGTGCACTAAGCTTCCACTATGCGCGGGATCCGGGGAAGGGTCGGACCACAAGGATCTATTATACGCAGTCTTACCCTGCATTTCTGCAAGAGACTGTTTCTACGGCACGACCTCCTGGTCATATGGAGGCAACTTTACCGGATACGCCAAGGCTCCCCTTCTGGCAGCTGCTGATCAGTATCAAGCATTATTGAATAACAGAGCACAACGTAATTGACCATAAAAAGGTAACTCACGGCCAATATGCGCTCACGGTGAATATGATATAGTCAAGTTCAAGCTCCCAAATAGTAGCAAAAACAGGTGAGACATAGCTAGAAAGCAAAATGAATGAAGATGATATCTGAAACATTGGCCGAAAACATACAAGAGATCATGAAGCGAAATTTACAATGCCAAAGCACAACCATGTCAACGGACATTTTCCATATTATCTAGATTCGCACATACCATTTAGACATGTAATATCGGATAGAATACCAGGTGAATCAGAACAACACATAACAGACGTAATCAAAGTGTATATCAAACCAGCACAAAAGAAGGCATGAAACTGTAGCCAACACACAAATTCTCCTAATAATTCTTCAAGCTGCAATATCTTTTAATCTTCTTTGCCCCTGAGGTTTAATAAGATCTCATATTATATGTTGCCATCAGAGGAAAACCAAATGAAATCACCAAATTTAAGCACAATACCCCTTCTAGATCTTGTCAAGCTTCTCTGCCTTCACAACAGGGTTGGCCTTTGCTATTGCATCTTGGGCAGCAGAGCGGTAATCAAACTGGCAGTCATGTTTATCCGAGTAACGGTGTGCTCCACAATACAGGTGACCGCAGCGACACTTGAATCCAGTGAAGCCAACCCTTTTTTTACAAGTGCCGCAGCGGTTAGGACCCTCCTTAGCCTTTACTTCAGAAACAACACTGGAGCTTGAGGTTGGAGATGATGGCAAAGCTACAGCCTTTGCTTCCACAGAATCAGATTGCACATCGACTGAGCCAACAACAATCGTTTCCCCCTTCTCACTGGCGGTTGATCCATTGACAAGGTTTTCAATCGATGATGCAGCTAACTTAGCTTGTTCTTGTTTCAATACCGTGTCCCTGTAACACTTAGAGCACATGTTCATGTTTGCAGCACTTCCAAAGAAGCCACAGTTGTTAACGCACAAAATAGGGCCTTCAGGAGGGGGTTGGCATCCCGTCTCATCATGCTCCATATTGTCAACACTCCTGCGCCAAAACTCATTAAAGATAACAACATTAATGCTAAGAAACCTCCTAAACCTGCTTCTCCTGAGAAAAATATAATAGGGAAAAGAAAGAATATTCTTTGCTTCCGCTCGCTATAAACCATCAAAATTTATGCAGCTAAGTTATAGGCTGAACAATAGAGGCAATGCAGCATATTGTATTCGGGTTCATCAGTACCCGGTACTTTCGGCATAGAGAAATTTATGTCTAAAAGTTCACTAAAATTATAAGAAATAGTCGATATGAACTCATAACTTTTAATACAATGGATTCAATGCTAAATAACCTTAAAGATTAAACCCATAGAGTTTAAATCCCAATTCTGCCTCGGCTGAAGAAGACTATTTTTCTAAGCAAGTAACAAAGGGGAAAACGCCCAAAGTGTAAACAAGCAAGTGCACATGAGGTCCCTCTTTGAAGGGCATAAAAACAAGATGAAGAACATACACAAGTTCATCAGACGCAATAAGCAAAGCGATATTCAGCAAAATAAAAATACGTGAGTACGAGTGTAAAACAGACTGCAAAAGTGATATAAGCAATTCAATCAACCAACTAAGCCTCGATCCAAAATCAGTTGGAGCCGACTATATGAATCATTTATCTCCATTTCCCATATATGTCCATTTTCTCTCTATTCAAGTAACATAAGCAAGATCAATGTTAATCATTTATCTCCATTTCCCATATATGTCTCTATTCAAGTAACATAAGCAAGATCAATGTTGTCGGCGTAGGCAAGGCACTAAGGCGTGCGACACGAGTTCTAGCAGTACTAAACAACAAATATAAATTGCCCTTTGTGCTTAAAGCCCCAATAGAGCTTAAGCGCTTTTTTTAGAGCTTTTCGCCCTTGACAACACTGAGCAAGATATTCAAAAATATTTAAAGCCAGTTAAAACATGATTAGCTCCTAAACTTGAAACTGAAACACAAACCACAAATTCTGCTTATGCAATTCATGTCACAATAACTCTCTATATTCTAACTGTGACCCTCTTGAGTTTCACCAGCTAAGCTTCTGGTTTAGTACAGAACCAAAAATGAGAAACATGGCTTTTGGTTCAGAAATATAAAACCTAGCTTCAATACAAAGCAAATTTCGTACCCACAGTACATAAATTTAAAAACCCAGGAAATAAAAAAAGTACTCAAAAAGCTTCATCAACATTAATATACAACAAAAATATTACCCAATTCTTGAGGTAATCCAACAGATCCACAAACACAGCAAAAAGAATTGTAATACTAAATATTAATACAAATCATAAAATAAAATACAAAAAGAGATAAGAACAAAAGGGGTTTTAGAAATTAACCACGTAAGAGATTAAGATCGCCGCAAGAGAGAGGAGAGATGTGGTGAATGAAATATGGCAGAGAGTTCTTTTCTTTTGTATGTGTCCTTTTTCTTTGTTTTGTCTGCCAACAAAGGAAGATACTTTACTGATTAGGTGTAATCGTGTTGGATTCTTATTTGTCCTGCGCTCGTGCATACTTTACGTGGCGTTTTGTACTTTTGAAAAATGCTTTTTCGATAAACTTTTTAAAATATCTTTTGAAAGTATTACTATTAGAAGATTTTTTTTTTTTATGACAATTCAAAGTGGAAATGACATAGGTAGTCACTTTAAAGCATATAGTGTAAAATATATTTACAGTTTTCAATGTATTTAAAGATTAATCATTTCGCTCAATCATCCTGTAGTTTATATTTTAGGGTTCAAATTTCTAGATATTGTATCCTAAAGTTCGAATATCGTATCGAGAAATTAAAGTTTTATGTTCTGAATTCAAATTAGCAGTTCAAAAATTCAGGTCACTTAATCCTGAATTGTAAATTAACAGCTCAGCAATTTAGGGCACTAAGTCTTAAATTCAAATTAAAAACTCAAAAATTTAGGATATAAAATTAATCATGAAGTTTGGACGAATCGACTAATCTTCAATAGTTTTATGGTCAACGTCAAAGTTAGAGGGTGTTTGGCTAGCTAATAAGCTGGTCAAACTGGATTACAAGCACCTTTTGGCTTATAACGCGTTTGGTAAACACCCAAAGTACTTATAAGCCAAGTGCTTATAAGCTAAAATCAGCCATAAGTCATAAGCTGGTCACCCCCAACTTATGGCTTTTCAGCTTATAAGCACTTTTAGTTTGACCAACACTTTTACTAGTTTATCTTTAATAATATTTTCTAATTCACAAAATACTTTTTCCAGAATAAATTTCTTGACTTTCTCTCATTCCATATTTGTTGCTAATTCTTTTCTTTACAAAGAAATTTATAATTTATAATTTTTTGAAAAATTTCTAGGATATTTTAGTCATTTTAACAAAAGAATAGCTTATCAGCACTTTTTAATCAAATACATCTACTGCTTATTATCAGTTTCAACACTTCTATCCAAACACATAAATGCTTATTTTAAAAATCAGTTTCAGTACTTAAAAAAGCTTTACAGCTATTTACAATCAGCTAATCAAAACGAGCTCTAAATCGTGTTTTAAATAACCAAGTTTATTTCACTTTTCCAAAAATAAAAGAATAAAAGGTAATTGAAACGCAATTCCATAAACAAAGGAAAGAAATTCTCTCGAGAATTGCAAACAAGAATCTTCAATCAAGTAGAAATATAAAAGTAAAAGACTAATTGTATATATTTATGAGTTTTCTTAAAAATGTACAAAACAAGATAAGGACGCTTATATAAGGATACAATATGTAACGGTGTTCCCTCACTTAATTCATGTTTGTTACTAACATTAACTACATTAATTGTCCGTTAGTGAAAATACTCGTAACGATTATGGTAATAATAAGCAATCGCGCATAATCAGGGATAATGTTGATTCTCTTTCCATATTCATAATTGTTCGTAAATCTTCCTCTTTTATAGTCTTTATGCATCTCGTGCCTATTTCTTTTTTCTCAGTATTAGATACGGTACCTTCCGTAATTAATCCCGTGAGTATTTTAACTACGCCTCATCATTCTTCTTTATTAACCTGATACAAATGCCACTTCTCACCATCTCGTTAATCCACGTGTCATGCCATTTTTTCACTAATACACTATTTAACATAGATCTAATTTCTAAATTATTTAAAGTTTAATCAAAGTTGACAAACTTCAAAAGTTCCTTCTCCTTCTTCTCCTACTTCTTCAAATAGAAACTTTGAATTGTCAGAGGTTCACTTCAAACCTTCTGAACTGACAGAATTAGATCCAAAGGCCTAATGTTAGGCTCTGCAATTTAAATTACAAATCTGACGGTCTGAAAATGCGACTAATTTTTTTTTTTATAATATTCAGAAATTCTTTTAAATAAAAGTCCTACAAATGGCTATTTGTGCATTTTCTCTCATATTCATGCCGCATAAGGTACATTAAAGAAGGAAACGTTCTCTAGTAAGAATTTCTTCATTTACAGGAAGCACAGGCATTTAGTTAAAAAGGAGTTTCTTTTTTATCCCACCACATTCCTTGATATATAAATTGTGATAAGAGTAAACAACTATAATTATAGTTTGGAAAAACAGAATTTTACTCACTCCAATCTTATTTTCTATGCCAGTATTTAACTGAACTGGAGTTTAATGTTGATTAATTTACATATTATATATTTCAATAATAAAAATAAAGATAAATGTTGATAAGTAAGTTTAAAACATAAGTTATTATACCAAAACGTTATGCAATGCGCTGTTATATTAGGGGATGAGATCCCCTCCGGTAAAAATTGGCCCAGAATTTTAATTTACCGTATTATAATCGATTTTTTATATTTAGTATTGCTTTTTCAAATCTTTTGAACAGGAGTTTGACAAATAACACTTTAAATGACAAATATCAATTGTTTCATGTTGACATGAAAGCTCTCGAATAATGAGATCTAATTTTAGTTTTCAAAACTTTCCACTTATGAATTCAGTCTTGTAGAAATTTAAAATTTTTTACAATGCACTTTGATTTAGTTTTTGGTCCAAATTCTTTACCTCCTAAAAACAAAAAATAAAATTATATTCTCTATTTAATTGAATAAATCGAAATTATTGAGTCGAATAAACCAAACAAAAGTGGATATAATCAAGCCACATCGAATTCAATTATATATATTATTGAAAAATTATCTTAACAAAACTAAATACCGAAAATATCGAATCGAAATATCTAAAAACTGTACCAAACCAATCGAGTGGAATCCTATGAATAAACGAAAGAAATAACGTAATTGCTCAATATTATGATCTTTTGTTACAAGTTCACTATTCCAAGTCTACAAAGTTAATCTCAACAACTATAAAGGTTTTGCCTCTAGAAAACAATACAGGTGTAAATGTTTAATTAGTGAGTAAGATAAATATCACGACCAAAAACTAACCCGGTCGTGATGGCGCCTATCATGGAACTAGGCAAGCCGACACACTCCCAAACAATTCGACATTTCATTAAAAGGTAGATAATAGACTGTTTCATACTGAAAATTCGTAAAAGAGATTTATTCAAAAACCAAAATGCGGAAATAAAAGCCCGACCTCGGGTGTCACTAACTCATGAGCAAATACTACAACTATTTTGAAATATAACAAGACTAACATAGTCTGAGAGTAGCCAAAATACACTAAAAGGAAGATAAATGTTGGCCCAAGTAAAGGTTAGTTTTGAAGACTGACAAAGGAACTCAGACATGAACCAGGTCCATCCAGTGGTCCATCCCTCAGGTTCACAAAAACGGGCAGATTCAAGCATGTGGGATGCACGTGAAGGAGATAAGCTTAACTTGGTGTATTTAATATCTCCTGATCGAAAAGGTTGCATAATTGATAAGGAGAAGGAGTCCTTAATCAAAGAGAACACAATTCAAGATAGGGAAGGAGTTAGAAGTTGAAATGACCTAGAACTCTTCCACCAAGGAAGAGTTGCATCAGAACTCTAGTTATTTCTTCATCTACTAACTCTATAAATTGCAGGATGTTCTCAAATTAAGTGTTGCACAAAAACGCAGAAGTTAAACGTGAATTGGGAGCAAAATAGCAAGGCTTTTTGTAAGCAATTCGTGTGTGATTCAAGTGTGCAAACCTGAAACTACACGAACCAGATTGAAGAACCAGCTCCATAAAGAGTTTTATGTGTCTTTCTTTATTTCTAGTTCAATTGTAGTAGGTATTTTATATTGTACCTTTCAGCTTTATCTAGAAGCAATTGTAATAGGTAATTTGAGTATTCAAGTTAGAGTTAACTTGAAGTTGTCGCAGCAGTTAGAGGCTGGTTGCCACAACGGGATTAGAGTTAATCCTTAGGTTTATAAAGTGTTTTGTAAATGCAGTTTTGGCTCAGTGATTTTAGTGGAAGTTTGGGAAAATCCTACTGAGTAGTAGGTCGTGGTTTTTTCACCTTTTGAGCCAGGTGTTTTCCACGTAAAATCTCTGTGTTCTTTATTTTATGTACTTTTAATTCCGCAAATAGTAGTAATAAGTACACCTAGAAGAACCGGTCCCTCTAGAAGCAGTTTAAGCGAAAAATTGAGTACCACACAAATCACCCCCCCCCCTCTTGTGTGGTATTGACGTTTAGAACATCAATTGGTATCAAAGCAGGTTATCCTTGAAGAGGCTAACACCTTAGGAACAGATCAAGATGAGTGCACCACCTGGAAACTAGGAAGGGCAATCCACTGCTAGGCCTCCACTCTTTAATGGCCAGTACTATTCCTGGTGGAAGAACAGGATGAGAGACCACATCATAGGAGAAGACTATGAACTCTGGGATATAGTCACTGATGGTCCCTTGGCTACTACAAAGAAAAATGCTGAAGGAGTGGATGTGCTAAAGACAAGAGCTGACTGTACTACTGAAGATTTAAAGAAGTGGGAAAAGAATGCTAAGGCCAAGAAATAGCTTGTGTGTGGACTTGGTCCAGACGAGTACAGTAGAATTCAAAGCTTTACTACTGCAAAGGAAATATGGGACACATTACAAGTGGCTCATGAAGGAACTCCTCAAGTAAAGAGATCAAAAGGAACACTGTTGTATTCTCAATATGAGAATTTTACTATGAAAGAAGGAGAAACAATTCAAGAGATGTATACTAGGTTCACTATACTGACAAATGAACTTAAATCTCTTGGAAGGGTTATTCTTGAAGAAGATAAAGTTGAGAAGTTTTTGACAAGGGTACTGCCAATCTCTTGGGAAAGCAAAATCACAGCTATTCAGAAATCAAAGAACACTGCCACTCTTAAGTTGGATGAGCTAATTGGAAATCTCACTGCCTATGAACTTAGAAGGAAAACCATGAAGATGGATGCACCTAAGAAGGAAAGGAGCATGGCATTCAGAATCACTGAAGGTGCTGATCTAGATGAGGATGAAATGACCATGATTACAAAGGATTTCAAGAAGTACCTAATGAGAGAAAATGGTCCTTCAAGAAGTGGA